TGTTTGCTTCCTTCGACCAGCAGGAGTGCACATAGACAAGGTCGTGTGGGATAAGCTCTCTTGAATCTAGCGTGGCATCATGCCCATAGATTAACGCCGACTTGATGCTGTATAGCTCAGACGAATCTGTTAAGTTGGGTGTACTGATAATGCCAGCCCGGAAGGCATGGCGAATGACTCCGGGGACAGCGGGTAGAAGAAGATCATCATGCGGACCCTAGTATCTTTCTATAGGAACCCAGGATGCCTTCGTATGCTTTGCGAAAATTATGTAAGTCTGTTTGGGTGGAGTGAATTTAGTTCAAGCCACAAGTTCGTCCATCTTCTGGAATCTGGCGAGAGTGTAAAATGAGCGTTCTACTTCTGGTTGAGATATCCCAACAACGTGGAGAAATAGAGCTCGATGATCATCTCGAAGCCGGTGTACCTCCCAAGCTGGTCCAATGGAGAACAAATATCGATCAAGGGTGCGTATGGGCTGAGAAAATTGTGTGTTAGGAGTGTAAAGAGGGTAGACTGACGTATCAGTATGATTAAGTAGTGAAAGAAAAGGTCTGCGATTGAAGGGGGGTTACGGGAAGCTTTTGTAGATATTTAATAAGAATCGCAAACGTTCTGTACGCAATTCGATTGAGACAATTTGTTGTAAGCAGCAATCAAAACCAATCTGTTTTCGAAGTCTGGCCCTGGATTTGATCTCCCAGAACCGCAGCGAAGTCGGCGTGGTCAGCAGTGTTGCCTGTTTCTAACAAAATATTACACGATATTCTCGTTCTATTGATTGTGTTTGTATGGACATTGGTAAACAGGTACCACCTGTCTTTCAAGATGAGGGTGGTCTAGGTCAGGATTCCCACCACAAAGATAATAAAACAACTCTCGCAAGCACCTTCATTAGACAAGCACTGGTCACTAGTTATGTAAGGCCTGCATGGATAATTTATGCTTGCGCCAGTCGTATAACTCTGCTTGTAGACTGTTTGGTTTAGAAGATGTCAGTTTGTTGAATAAACCCAACATCGAATGCATGGCTGATGATGACTGCCATAACCCCCTGAGTCAATATGTCGACAGTCTGCCGACCAAATGTGAACATGGATGTGTATTAATGAGAAACGTTAAATTCATGCTCAAATTTGATATCATTCGTATCTTTGCATACAAAGTTTTCGTCTCGTTCTAGGATAGAAAGGCGTCAATATTGTGATGTATGAGATATAACAGGCTACTGAGACGTTGTAGTACCCGACGACAACGCTTTTGTTAGAGGAAAAATTCAATCTGTGACACAGTATATGCATTGTTAGGAATTATCATCCCCAGTTGTGGATCTATGATCGGATAACTTAGGCTTCTTCCTTGGAACACCGTACAGGGAGGGCACCGGGTCGTGTAATACAAAGAATCAAGAATACCCTAATGGCCTTTCGTTTAGGAGCACCGGATTTTGCATAGATCGGTTTTGGTTATCCTACATTGGCACACGATGTTGTTACTCAAAGAATTGAACCAAACCGCAGAGCTCGAGCGTTGCTGATGTCTCGAACGTCTTCATGAATTCACACTATGATCCCGTGTTCTCGATTACGACACATAAGATATTTTACTTCGAAGCTGCAACCTTCTTCTTCTCCAAAGCCTTCTCGATAGCCTCCACCCTCTTGTCAATCTTCTCAAAAGACCAGCTATTCCATGGTGAGGGGTAAACAAGAGGTCGAAGATCAAACCTGTGGTCATCCGGGGAGTAGTTTTCAACATGGACAGCGGGTGTTGCCACTGCTTGTTTGTGTCTGTTAATATACTTAGAAGAATTGTTAGCTCATGTAACAACGACTTTGACCAAAAGGAAACATACGTGAAATCCGTGGAATCTCTTGACTTTAGTGGCAACTTCTCGTGGTGTCATCTTGCCCTCACCACCCCATTCCTCAAGAAGCCGGAGGAACATGCCGTATGGGCCGAGCTTGCTCTCCTTTCGTAGACGCTTTGACAATTGTCAGTTTAGTTGTGACTTAACTCATGGTTGTGTTTACTTACACCGAAGCGAGAGAGCTCGTCATATGTCATACCCATATCAGCTGAGGTATTTGTTAGTCGGTTGCTATCTCTGTGACAAACATAACCTACCTTCATCACTCTGAACGTAGTCTGCGGTAATAGGCTCAAGCTCAGCCGTAGCTGTAATCTGTTAGCATGGCGTGATCAAGCAATATTGAAGGCTTGACCCACGAATAGCATGGATGAATTCCTCTAGGATAGGCATATCAAAGCTCTTGGCAGACCAAGCGATAAACCTCTTCAAGTCTGTCTTACTAACAGAGCCGATGGGGTTCACATCAGCGGAACTGCAGTCGTACTTGGTGAGATCTGAACAGCCACGTTGTCAGTTAATGGCGCAATGGAAGCCTGAGAGTTACAACTTACAGCCTCGAAGACACTCATCAACGTTACTAGATCCAAGAACTAGCAGACTTCCTCCACCGGGCCGTTGTCGTACAGTGGGAAGCATCTGGGCATAATAATAGGCAATAACCATACGGCTACGGGCTTGGATATTTTGCAAAGCCACTGCCGAAATTAGTATCAATCGAAATGGAGCTTCTAGTTATGGCTGGGAAAAGGCAGATCAACATACGGTTCTCAGTTGCTGATCCTCCATGGACCTTGAATTTGGGCTCAAATCCTGTGCCTTGAGTGAGCAGGTTCTTGGTGGCATGGAAAGTATCGTCAATGTTCATGTCAGTGTGGTAGCTTCCAATACGTTCGGACAGATCCTTGGCACGTTGGCGAGTCTCCTTGCTGCTCTGCTTCTCCATACCCATGTAAACAGTGTGGAAGATCTGATTACAGAACTCTTCAGCAGTTTCGGGTAACTTGTCTGAGTACACGGCAATTCGCTTCACATCAGCAATAACTTCCTCATTACCTACCTTGATGGCTGCAACGACAAGTCGACACATGCTGAAGACAATAGTGGCAGTTGCGCATGAGTCAATACCTCCAGAAAGGGGCACAAGGTAACCGGATGCCTTGCTTCGTCGCACTATTTTCCAGTTAGTTGCTGACCTTGTAAAGTACCAACAAAGGAAACTCACGGTAATCCCAAAGCCAGCAAGCAGGACCAAGGGCCTTAGCAGCACAAAAGATTAGCAAAACTCTCCGTGCAGAACCTGCTTACTACTAGAAAAAGCCAGGACAGATAGAGTGGGTGAGTACATACGATTTCTTCCTCTGGAACATGGTACCTAGCTGGCCTAGGAGGTGTTGGGGCCCGGAGGAGATCAAGATCTTCCACACCCAGGCTGAAATCGACCTCGATTCTTTCGTACACAGGTGCTTGGACAGCCTGAAAGTTGCGGGAAGGGGCAAATCGGTAGGCACGAACTTCTTCGAGGTCCACAGTTGCGGTGATAACTTCAACATCGTCCAAGCTGAATTGGGAACCTTGAGCCACGATGTTGCCGTTCACCATAATGAGCGATGAACCGTCGTAGAGAAGTCTATCTCCGTCGGAACCTGAGACAGTGTGAGATAAGGCAGTTCGTGTTAGATAGTTGGAATGAATTACCGGACTGGTTGGCATATAGGTAGACACCACCGCTCTTACGAGTTGCCTCAGAGATGAGGGCGAGACGCTCATTTAGCTTTCTCAAAGTGTGGTGAGAGCCGGATGAGTTGGTGAAGATCTCGACGCCATTGAGGGCCCTGGATGATGGTTAGTCTTTGGAACGCTCTTGAAAGCCGGCACCGTCTCTCTTTAGAGTGGAATTGAAGTTCCAAAGGAGGCATACATGTTGATATGAGGCGCCTGAGGGGTAAAAAGCTCCTCACATGTCTCGGCAGCGACAGTTGTGTCGTTGAGAGACAAGATAACATCACCGATAGGAACTTGTCGAACACCTTGGTGTTTCTGCAGAGCAGGAGGAAGGTTGTACTGCTCAACATATCTAGGTCTGTTCCAAGGAGTAAAGAAACGGTTCTCTCTGAAGTTTCTATAGAGCCGAGCTAGTCAGTGAGTGTCTTTTTCGAGGCAACTATTACGCACCCGTCATTGGCAAGGTAGATCTTGGGTCGAAGACAAAGAAGCTTTCCGTCAAGGATAATAGCACGGCAGTTGTATCGGCAACCCCTATGCATGAGAGGAAGACCGACATCAATCAGGATGCCGTGAAGTTCGGTGTCAGTCAAGATTGCGAGGAGTGATTCCAAGGAGTGTTCATAGACATCCGCCTCAAGGAAATGGTCAAGACTATTGAGACATTGTCAGATTATTCTCTCCATAAAGAATTGTTAATAAACCCACCATCCATAGCCTGTAATCTCAAGCTCAGGACCTGTTCTCAAAGTAGCTCCAGCTTCCTTTGCGAGGATGATACTCTTGCGAATTCTCCCAAGGTTTCCTGCCCAATCCAACACCCACTGGTTGAGCGAACATGTTGCCAAAGTGATTAAGTCGGCCATCTTGAAGTGAAGATGCTGTCGACAGAGAAGCTCTTTAGTGTAGTAGGTTTAAGTTGGTGACTGTAACTACCCGTAGAGGGACCTGGGTGGGCCTTTGATTTATCCAATGTATTCGGGCGGGGTACAAGCTTGCGATAGCGGCATACCAGCGCCCTCCAACGCCCTATAGATCAGCATTGAGGTTTTCGTGCCATTGGTATTTAGCTGACCAAGTAAATGCAGATTGAAACATCAATCAAATTATCACACATCTAATGTATCCCGAGATCCAATTTGGCATAGTCAGTACATAATTCAGTTGAATACCCAAGTTATGATACAAATATCTCACAGTGACTATTGATGCCCCACCATATCTTGTCAAACCCGAATACCGATTGTCCGAGAACATCAACCTCATATAATTCAATCAAGATAACACAAGCGATGTCTTCATGAAATTCGTATTCTCTATTCTACATCCGCCAACCATTTTAATTCTAAATAGTCTTACATGAGATTATATGTTACATGATACATTAATACAATGCCTCCACTTCTCACCTAGTGTAGCCTCCTTTGGCGAGAGCCTCTTCAAACATCGCCTTGCATGGGACCTTACTGCCCAGCTTTGCACACAGCAGAAAGGCACCACTGAGCTTGCGGTGCAGACTGTACGTCTCCTCAGGTGGAGGCGCAAGTCGCTCTTGAAGCATCACAGGGATGAGTGCTTTCACACGTTCTGTAATAGTCTGATCCTTGAAGTCGTAGACATCAGGTGCATTGGAAAGGAAGGGTTCAGCGAGAGTGAGAACAGACTTTGTGTGTGCCTCAACCATGGTGCGGCTTTCATGGCCAGTCAAGTAGCCGAGGCTCTCAGACAACTCCTTGACAGCGGCCTTATCAGAGCGAGAGGCTGCAGCAAGAAGCTGTACGTACTGGGTAACAAACTCGTCGGGATACTCGCGAGAAGCTCCAAAGTCGAGTAGCTCGAGCTTGTTGACGTCCGCGTTATAGAGGAAGTTTGTCCAGTTAGGGTCCGTCTGCATGAAACGAAACTCGGTGATCTCACGGAGACAGAGTCGGAGAAGCTGTGTGCCGATCCAGTCACGTTGCTCCTGAGTAAATGACTTGATGCGCGTCACGCCGATGCCATCCATAAAATCCATGGTAAGAACTTGCTTGCCCGATGCCTCGGGATATACGTTCGGTACCACGAAGATGTCTTTCTCGCTTGAGCCGAGAAGCTCCTTGTAGCGCTGAGCGCATTGAAGCTCGCGTCCATAGTCACATTCCCAGCCGAGCTCCAGTCGCGCGTTATCAATCGTCTTATTAAGATATAAACCCCTGGGGAGAAGCTTGGTCGCTGTGAGGAGAATGCTCAGGTTATCGAGATCCGAATTGATGGAGTCGGCAACGCCAGGGAACTGAATCTTGACAGCCACCCGCTTGCCATTCTTCAAAACTGCTTTGTGCACCTGTCCAATTGAAGCGGCAGCAATAGGCGTTTCTTCAAACTCGCTGAAGAGCTCTCTCCACTCAGGACCAAGGTTTGCGACGAGCACACGATCACGCTGCCAAGCGGGCATGTAGTCAGCACGATCCTGAACGCGCTGAAGGACCTGCTGGATAGGGGCTGGCAGCATCTTGGTGTCCTGGAAACTCATCATCTGACCAAGTTTCAGAGCAGCGCCACGCATGCGTGAGAGCTTCGCAACCAGACGCTCCATGTTCCTCTCGCTCAAGAGAACAGATCCCTGACCACCGCCGCCAAAGGCACGGCTAAAACCTTCAGTCATGGCACCTCCCAGCATACCAGCAGCAAGACCACCGTAATTCCATATTCGGCTAATGCGCGATGAGGGAACACTGGACTCTCTCAGAGCATGTGGAGTGTCTGAAGGTGCTACTGCATCTCCAGCAATCTCTTTTGCGGCTTGGATGACGTCTTCGTCGATCTTCGTCTCAGCTTCAGGAACGACCGGAGGGGCCTTTTCTGGTTCAGGCGCAGGCGTTTCTATGGATTTCTCTTCCTGAATTTCCTCCTGCGCAATAGGAACCTCATTCTCTACGAGCTTTGCGGGCTCCGTAGGTTCCACATGCTTCGTAACCGGCTCCTGGGGCTTCTCGGGTTGCGCTTCGAAGCTCAACTCTGGAGGTGGATGAGGGGGCCAATTTCTCATGGGATGCTCTTCCACAGGACCTCCAGCCCCAGGCCTAAAAGGCGCTGTACCAGGTCTGCCCTGCTTTCTTAGGGAATCTAAAACCTTGGAACCTCGTGCCGTATGGAAGATATTAACATCGACTCCGGGTGGTAGATCAAAATCATCATCCTTGGCTGGCTCTGACGTAACTTGTTGCTGTGGGATTGGCCTGGGATTCAGGATTGAACTGTCGAAATGAAATCTGTCGGTTCTTGTAAATTCTGGTTGGATATTTTGTCTGTCTTCCGATGCTTCGACGATAGGTTCCGTTTGCTGTGCAGCCGGTGCGGCCTGCTCATAGATCGTATCATCATTCGGCCTCGTAGCACTGTGTACATAGTCTGCTGTCGGTGGGCTTTTCTGAGCATTCCGTTTTCTTAACGCCGCAACAACGCTCGACGTCCGGCTGTAAGTGTCGATCTGACGACCTCGAAGAGCGACATGCTTGGCGGCGATGCCACGAGAGGCATTGAGCACTGCAGCGAGGTCGATGGCGAAGTCGACGAACCTCATCGAGTCGATACGGCCTCGGAGGTCCAGAAGCACATTGAATGGAGGTGGTTAATTGTGTCTGGCGTACTGGCGTTGGCTGCCAGCTTAACAAGGTGGGTTGCTGGTTCCCAGTTTCGGAGAAAAAAGTCCATGACTTAATTGATGGGTCATGCAACTAAGGGGGTTAACCACATCAACTGCCGACGGTGTCTAGGACGTAAAATCATATTAGAAATCCAGGTACGAATTATATCCAAAAAAGAAAATTGGTATAGTATTATATTAAAAGCAGTCATTGGAGCAAGGGCCTTGTCACCCGAGCGTGGACTGGCCATACTAGACAAGAGCTTAGATAAAAGAAGGAGGTCATAAGCTCCGTAATTATAAACTGAGATTTTGAAAATACAACTTTTCTTTTTATGGTTGAGAAAGCGCTTCGCTTCATAAAACTGTCCTGGAAAATGACCACGCTCCCGTTGAGCCATGATAGCAAAAAGAAAAAAGAAAAACCTTACGCCATGCTGTAAAGTATATGCCAAGTATTCGTCTTCACTTCGATCCCGACGTTGAGCCAGATCTCTTGACTGATCTCAAAAGAGACCCCCTAGGAGTCATGGGCTTGTTAGATTGTCCAAATGAGCTCCCGCTTGACCCGTGTCCAGGTGTGCCAATTTTACTCCACAACCTTTGCGCTGCTGGTGTCAGACCTCCAGTAGATACACGAGGGCTACTCGGGAATTTGGGAACTGGCGTTTTATCTACCCTCCCTGTAAGCCCGTTCCTCGTGGATTCCTTTTTCGATTGCGATATTCGCTCCACCATGCGCTCGTGCAGAGTCTCTCTATCGCGTTGCTCTTGTAAGCGGAAAGGGTTTGGCGAGTCATCTCCTGGACCCAGGTTGATGATAGGTGCAGGGAGTATCGGCTCATTTTCATCATCCTCGTCGTCAACAAATGCGTATCCATTCACCCTTGGCGTCTCTCCTCCACTGACACTCGAGTCTTGATCGCTCTTCCGGGGCCTGCCTGCGATGGCGTCTCGTATTGCAGACATGGTAGGGGATGACGGCCGTTCTATAACGCGCGGTTCAGGCATTCTTGTGTTTGCGTAAACAATCGATTTTGGCGCCATCTTTGAAGATTCCTCAGCCTTTTGAGAAACGCTAACAACGCTATCATCAACACCATCGGGCCCGAACATCAAGTTGTTCTTGGGATTGGCATTCCATGTATCTGGACGTGCCGGGCGGTCGTCTTTGTCTTTGATAGCAAGACGATCGCGTTTGGAGCCGTCGTCCGTCAGACTTCGTGTTTGCCCGATTCGATCCTCAACTTCCTTTTGCTTGATCATTTGCTTTGATGGTAATTTATTGCCACGCCAAAGCCAAGCATACTTTTCAGCCTTTTTCTGGTTCTGCTTGTCAACAAGTTTATAAAAGCTTTCATTGTCTTCGCTTGTATAAGTCTCTTGGAACTTTGATAAACTCATGTTGGTTTTGAGCCGTGGCTGAAACTCTGGAACATTTGAGATGACAGAAGCTGGTGTGTCCCCTCCATATGTCGAAGGCGTGCGGTCTCCAGGAGTGAAAGAGTTTGCTGATTTTGGAGGGAGTAGTGTGTTCTGGCGTCCTGGTGTCATAACATGCTGAAGTCTCCGTCCTGCGCTCGATATCCAAGCGGCATCTTTTGACTCTAAGGCGTCGAGATATTCTTGTTGTGTCTCCGTCTGTAACAAACCAGGAAAAAAGTCACGAGCTATAATTTGAGACAGCGTCTCTGTGTAGGTATCCTCATCGAGTACCTTCTTTGGTCGTTTGATCTTTTTAGCTGGAGGGGGAGGGGGCATCAAAGAAGTGTCCGTCCGCTTCCGCACCAGCGCGTTTGATGTCCCTGATCCTGACTCCATGGTGTATGTAAGTGACTATGAAATGTATTTGCTGAAAGTGAGTTGAGTGGTCAAGTGGAGCTATTTTGAGATATGCAACTAACCGATATCCACTCAGAGCTTTGTGCTGACAAGTTGATAATTTACTACAGTGGTCGTGTGACCGACAGGTACCTACCTGTTGGTTAATAGGCAGCAACCGACTACATGCCTCAATGTTTAATTTGACTGTGTTTAAAACAAGCCGTAAAGCTTTATATTAAGCTTAGAACAGAGGTTCTTTATGTGATGACTGAATCAGGTAGGTTCCAGTTGCAAGGCATCCGCACAATGGATGGCTGTTGACTGTTGGCCAGTGGCGATTGATAAATGATTCCCCGTCTTTTGGTGCCTTGCTCAGACGCTAGGCGTTCCAGAGGCACCCGACCTCGCGACGATTTACACCCAGGTAGGCAATACTTACAGGGACTCTAAACCTATCATAATGCCTGAAAGCCCTGGAACCTCACCCGTTAAGCCCCCGATGGAGCCGTCAGATTCGGTTCCATCATGACGCGCCGGCAGCGGGGGCCAAGTCAACTCCACCAAAAGCCGCCCGCCATCAACCTCGATCCAAAACTTCTTTGCACTTCCTCGCATTGTGGAACCGAGCCTTACTTGGAATCCGCCTCGCTTCTGCACCATTCTACGAGCTTATTCTGGACCTGCAAACTTCAAAGCCAAGTCCCTCTCTTTTTGCGACCGACTTGAGTGGTTGATACTGCGCTCGGCGCAAAACTGCCATACTACCCCTCCCCCTCCTTTGACCTTCGACCTGTTTCTGTGACGCCCACTCGACGACCTTCAATTTTGACAAAATGGACGCCGTTGAACTTAAGAACAAGGGCAACAAGGCCTTCCAGTCTGGTGACTACCTCGGCGCAGTCGACTTTTACACGCAGGCTATCGAAAAGAACGACAAGGAGCCTACGTTTTTTACCAACAGAGCTCAGGCAAGTCATAAATACGATCCATGAATTTACTATTGGACATTCTATTGACTTTAGGGACTAGGCATACATCAAGACTGAAGCGTACGGTTATGCTGTCGCTGACGCTACGAAAGCTATTGAGCTTAACCCAAAACTTGTCAAGGTTCGCCACGAAACGACAGAATTGGGAAACCCAAGATCGAATTCTGACCTGGGCAGGCATACTACCGACGAGGTCTAGCCAAGACTGCGATTCTACGACCTAAAGAGGCTATCGACGACTTCAAGACATGTGTTTCCCTCGACCCCAACAATAAAGATGCCAGGCTCAAGTTGGAAGACTGCAAGAAAATCGTCCGACAGATGGCGTTCTTTGCTGCTATCGAGGTCGGCGATGAGCCCTCTGCAGCTGTTGGCCTTGACCTAGACTCAATGGCTGTTGATCCAGGATATGATGGCGTGCGACTAGGTGATGAGATGACACAAGAATTCATTGACGACATGATCGAGCGTTTCAAAAATGGCAAGAAGATCCACCGGAAATACGTCTATCAAATCATTCTTGCCGTTAAGAAGATCGTCTACGATGAGCCTACAATGGTCGAGGTGGAAATTCCTAGCGATGTCAAGCTTACTGTCTGTGGTGACACGCACGGTAAGAAATGTGCCAGCCAGTGTTTTGTACAACCAACTAATCCTTGTAGGTCAATATTTCGATCTTATGGAGTTGTTCCGTCGTAATGGCACTCCTGATGAGAAGCACTGGTATCTTTTCAACGGTGACTTTGTTGATCGAGGTTCTTGGTCAACTGAGATCGCTCTGCTCTTGTATGCATACAAATGGCTGCGACCTAAGCAGTTCTTCCTGAACCGTGGAAATCACGAGACAGACGACATGAACCGAGTCTATGGTTTCGAGGGCGAATGCAAGGCCAAGTACAACGAGCGAGTCTTCAAGCTGTTCTCTGAGAGTTTCTCTGCTCTGGCTCTGGCTACACTCATTGGAAAGAAGTACCTGGTCCTTCACGGAGGTCTCTTCTCCGATGATAAGGTTACACTTGACGATATCCGAAAACTGAACCGACACAACCAGCGTCAACCCGGTCAGGCTGGCTTGATGATGGAGATGCTCTGGACTGACCCTCAGGAGGAGAACGGCCGAGGACCCAGCAAGCGTGGTGTCGGTATGCAGTTTGGTCCTGACATTACCAAGAAGTTCTGTGAGAAGAACGGTCTCGAGGCTGTTATCCGAAGTCACGAGGTTCGCATGGATGGTTACGAGGTGCAGCATGACGGTCGCTGTATTACCGGTGAGTTGATATGGGTATCTTATTACAACTTTGTCGCTAACATTTCTATTAGTCTTCTCTGCTCCTCGATACTGTGACTCGACAGAGAACAGGGGTGCCTATATCAACATCGGCCCTGACTACAAGCTTCAGTACGAACAATTTGATGCTGTGCCCCACCCTGACATTAAGCCCATGGTAAGTTGCCACACAATCATATATATCCATGTCTCAACGCTAACCGGATTCCAGGCATATGCGCAAAGCTCTCTCATGTCCTCTCTGATGTAGAAGCGGCGGAGAACCTCTAGAAAGCAAATTGGCGGCGATTTCAGGGTGTATTCAGGTCCCGGGCGTCTGGAAACGGTGCATTTGCAAGGGTAGGCCGATGGGCGATGTACTTTCATACATTTATACCCCATCTAGATGATAAAACGAGGTCCAGTTCAATGATGATGAATATAACAAATGCCACTCTTCAGGCGTTCCATAATCGGTTTTGTCCGTCTGCTCCGACCATGGCACCCAGCCAGTCTGAGCATTGTCGTAATTGAAGGCTTATTTGCTCTCCGTTATCGCTTGTGCCTCCCCATGCTGTGATGGCTGCTGCGAAGGAGCCGAGATCTGGTCTTGGAATACGAACCCACGCATGGTTGTTTTCCACTTTGAGAATATCGATAGAAATAGCAGCACCTGTGATTCCCAGGAATTGCCGAAGAGCAGCTGTGCAATGGCTTTTGAGAGAAAGATCGTCAAGAGTGGCAGATGACGAGTTGCTGGGAGCGTCTGTGACAAGCTCTAGGTGCGCATATGAGAAGGGCGGTTCCTTGATTGTGCAGGTGAGAATGTCGTGAGATTTTTCAAGACCTTTCTCTTGAAAGATGTTCTTCTGACTCGACTGACTTGGATTTTTTGTCATTTTGAATTGATAAAATCAGCAGGCTTTTCTGATGACTAGGTAGGCGTTGAGATCCATCTTCAATTAGAGATTGAAGTTTAAGGTGGATATTGCACTTGGTGCATACCTCGCTTATGTGCATGACAGCTCTTCATCGCCGCCTTTGTCCGTCGCGAACTTTTGAACAACACTCTCCACGACCAACATTTCTCCCCCCTGTTAACACTTGTCGACGATCCCTTCTACGAAATACCGAAAATGTCATCATCCAATTATGTCACAACGGGCCAGGCGCGAAACCTACGCGCATGCATGATCTGCTCGATCGTCATGACCTCCCAGGTATGACCTTCTAACATTGTCAACCTCAGCACGAATCCAGTGAACTGACGTTTTCTCGACATCTAGCGCTTCCAAAACGAAGGTTGCCCCAACTGCGAGGAGTTCCTACACCTCCAGCATTCCCCGGACCAGATCGAGAGCTGTACATCCCAAGTCTTTGAGGGTGTTATCACGCTCGCAAACCCGACCAAGTCGTGGATCGCAAAGTACCAGCGCCTCGATAGCTACGTGCCTGGCATGTATGCCATCAAAGTCTCAGGACAACTACCTGATGATGTTCGATCGACGTTGGAGGACGAGTATAGGATACAGTACATTCCGTAAGTTGAACCCTGGATACGACAAGTTGAAACGAGCTGACATATTGGTTTTGTAGACGTGACGGCACAGAGGCGGAGAACGATGCTTAGAATACGTGACGTTTGACCGATGCGCAACAATGAATTCCACTATTTCTGGCGAAACCGGCGTTGAGGGAATAGAATAGCAGTGATTATGGACAAAAATTCTCGTTTAAAAAGTATTGTAGTGGTATCTATGATGGACATTCAAACCAATAACGCCCCAACAATTTCCTATGCTTTATGCATGGCATGTTTGCCATAATGATGGTTCCAATATCTGTGATCGTGCCATAAAATAAAATTGAACATTTCTAATTGTTCTTCTGCTTCTTATTAGAGCCCATGCCAAAATTAAAGCCGGCAGAGTCTCTGGACCGCTTCTTTTCCATTTCTTCTTTCATTATGCGTTCGGCCTCGCTCATCTTCTTAGGCTGTTCAATTTTTGCTGGTTTCTTGGGTCCTGAGGAGAGAGCGTTCTTCTTGGCCTGAGCGAACACGTTCTTGGTCTGAGGCTTTCCAGTAAGCTTCATCGAGATGCCCCCAAACCCGCTTGGCTTCGCTGGTGCTGCGTCAGGCTCCTTTCCTTTTTCTGTAGTTGTCTCTTCCGTCTTTGAGGGATCTGTTTCTGTTGTAGATGTGCCTGGCGCAAGACTCTCTGACGCCTTCGTTTCAGGAGCGGCTGGCTTCGCTCCGAATGAAAGCTTGATCTTCTCGCCTTCTTGACGTTTCAGTTCGCGGGCTTCGGGATCTTCTTCCTTCTCCTCGTCATTAGTGCCGACGGCGGCTTGCGCTCGTTTGATTTGCTCTCGAATCATACGCTGCTCCAACTCCTCGTTGCCCTGATCTTGCGCTTCCTTGCGTCTCAGTGCGTCTTGTCGTCTCAAGGCCTCTGGTGATTTGTCGATCCAGGATATGTGTATGCCCTTCTCAGTCTCTTCAACTCGGCAAACACCCTCACGGCCTAGGTGTTTCGCTAGTTCGGTAAGCGAACCGAACTTTGTACTGTTCATATGAATGTGCTCCTATTATTCATTAGTAAGACGGTAGGAAAAGACAAGTTGCATAGAACTAACCTTGTTTGCAATATATTCTTGGTAGAAGCGGTTGATATGGACTTGCTTCTCTCCGTGACCTGTCCTTAGAAGTAGAAGGAAATCGCTCAAGAATTGTTTTGTATAGTCGTTGATGTACTTCTTGGGGTCTTCGCCGACGAGAAGCATTTGTCGCACATGACTTTCACTCATTGTATGCTGCTTGAATCCGTTGGCATCTCTACATTGTTTCTCACATGGTTGACAGTACCATCTCAACCGCTGAAGACCCTTGGCCTTCATGCGGTTGGCGACAAATTTCGTAGATCCGACTTCGGCTTTACCCATGATGTGTTTTGGTGGTTGTAGTGTGTAAATTAGTCAAGTCGAGATTCAAAACGCGGGCCGCTAGACGTAAAAGATTTTATGGGGCGACATGCAGGTCAGTGATGCAAGTTTACGGCGCGTATGCACGTGCTCCCAGCAATAGCGATAAAGAACAATAATGGGATAAAAGCATACGAGATCTAACTTCAGAAGGATAATTTAAAGCTTCGATTTTTGCTTTCATACATGAAGTACCTTTCCTCGCACTTGAGACTCTTTATTATAAATACCTAACTCTGATCCAGATTTATTAACCAGCACAAAGCAAAGCGCAAGTTTCTGATACTGAGCTGTGCTGACTAAGACGCAATTTTCTGCTCCTATTCACCGCCTTGGAACCCGGCGTCATTCCGCTCTCACCTCAACACCAAACTACAGCCTCGATACAATTCCAACTAAACACGACTTTCTTCATACAACTCCCTCAACACATCTCACAACTCGCCCAATATGAGTGAACGCAAGGTCCTACAGAAGTACTACCCCCCAGATTTCGATCCTTCAGCTCTCACCCGCAGCCGCAAAAATAAAGATGCTGGACCCAAAATACAAAAAGTTCGAATCAGTAAGTTTATGAGCCACGGAGACCATGAATTAATACTGACCTCTACAGTGGCTCCGTTCTCTATGCGCTGTACACGCTGTGGAACCTTTGTGGTCCGTATTTTCTGGTTTCAATAAATCCAATAGAAGCTAATATTTCATAGTACAAGGGTCGCAAGTTCAACAGTTCTAGTATTTTCCCTCTTGTTCCTATAGTGATATTTTGTATTAAGAAGCTAACTAGAATACAGAGGAGATACGGCCGGAGGAGAAGTACCTCAATATTCAGCTGATCAGATTGTATTTTCGTTGCACGGGGTGTTCCGGTGAAATTCTTCTACGGACAGACCCTAAGAACAATGATTATAGCTTGGTATCGGGAGCTGTACGAAACAATGAGCCATGGCGCAACCGCGAGGCCGAGAACGAAGATGATGAGCAGCGACTGAACCGACTGGAACGCGAGGAAGCAGAAGCTGCAGGCGAGGAAGAAAAGAATGCCATGGAGGAACTCGAAGCCAAGAACATGGATGCGCAGAGAGAAATGGCCGCCGCTGATGCGCTGGACGAGATCCGACACCGAAACGCACGAATCAACCGATCCGAGAAAGAAGGGGTCGATTTTGCAGACACTATAGTACGGACAGAGGATGAGGAAAGAGAGAAACAGGAGAAGGAAGACGACGAGGCTGCTAAGCAGGCTTTCGCTGCTGCACGAGCCCGGATGGAAATGGAGACCATAGTTGAGGACGACGCGCCTGTGGGGTTAGCTGAGCCAGAACCTGTAGTGCCAGCGCCAGCTCCTAGTTTCAAGAGGGTTGTCAAGAAGAAGAAGGATCATTCCGCAGCTCTGGGGTTAAAGAAGAAAGTATGATTAAGGCAACGAACGGACAGAGTAAGGAAATGTATCTTTTACAAGGCTATATATAATGATAACGATGGTTGATAATTGAGGAGTTTCGTGCAGAAGATCGATCATGGTATAGGATTATGCTTTTCCAAATTAATCTTTATATTTGTGACTTGAGTATTTAAATGCGGCTACAATTATTGATATTTATTGAGTTACAGAAAACAGTCACAATCAAATTTCATGGTTGAGATGAAAATGTTAATCATTTATCGTTATTGCAGTTATAGTTAAACTATGTCTTGTTTCCTCCTCTGATGCTTGTATCCCTTGTCTTTCTCTCGCTAGTAGTACAGAAGCTGCTCTCACAACCTCAAAAAAATCCCTTGACCATAAACTCCTTGCATGTCGTGTTTGTAAAGAAAATAGAACATATAAATCAGGCCGTAAGGTCATATGAGAATGAACTTTTTTAGGCACCAGTACTCCGTAAATGTTGTTGTTTCATGAGAATGCCTTGGTTGTAGGACAAGAGGCTGGGTTGATAGACTTCGCCACCATTGACGTCGCATTTGATGTCATGCCAACTCCAAGCCCCATCAGCCAAGGCAGAACGACAAAAAGAGAAGAAGTCATGATGATAAGTCTCTAATGGTGTGGTGTCGTTATTGAATTTGTTTGTCTCATGTCATGAGATCTTATGAGTAGTTGGGGCTGGTGTTGCCGTTGGTCATGGATGAACGGGCGCGCTGGGCAGTAGCGTTGGAGGGGGGAGGGCTAGCACCGGAAGCCTCCATCTGTCGCTTTGTGTGGTCGTGCATGAAGCGAGAGTAGCTTGAGAGGTTGGTAGGAGGAGGAGGAGACATGGACATGGAGACGGAACCGTAGTCAGATCGAGCGGGCATGATGAAGGTGTTGTTTGTGTAGTTGTATGAGTGTAAGTTGTTTGGATGAGTGGAATTGCAGGCGATCGACTTCTTAAATAGATGAGTCGAGTAGAGATGAATTGATTGATAGGCTTGTGCTGAAACGCTGGCTTAAAGATGAAAAGGCTTGAAAGTGAGGTTGAAGAGTAGTTGTTGTGATTGTTGTTTGTTGTGTTGGATGATGAGAATTGATTTCGAGGGGGGATCTCAGGGTCTTATTATACCAGAAACCGTACACTCGAAAGAATGAAGACAGAGGAGAGGAGCGGAGCGGGCAAGGTACAGGCTCCAAAGCTTGGGATTAGCCTCCACCCCCAGGTCCCTTGAAAATGCAGTCAGAGTGGAGTGTTTAGTTGTGTAATGGGGGTGCGATATTCCCTCGAGTGGGTGTGTGTGGTTCCGTAGCACATCATCGTCGTCGTGGAGGATGGACCCTTCTTTTTCTCCCTCTTCCTCTCTCTCAGTGTGCGGGTGTCATACCCGTGGTGCCATCAGGAAGCACGAGACAAACAACAAGTTTCCCCTCTTTTTCCTTCAGAAGACACTCAGAGGAGAAAGAGGAAACGGGGCTCAACAGCCAGTTCAAGCCAATGTTATGCCATCATGAGCGACTGATCGGCAGAGATTGTCGTCGTCTAGCGTCTGCATATAGCGTAGCTTGACGAGTCGAGACTGGTACACAGTCGGTACGTACTATGTAAGCTTCGGAGAGATCGTCGGTATATCCTTGCACTCTGACGCTACGTTTCTTGATTCGTTCGAATCAAACAACCCCCAGTTGTTCAGGGTCCTGCTCCATCGCCACCACTTTTTTACTTTTGTGGACTCTGAAGCAACAGAGCTTGTGAGAGGCGAGGCTACGCCGACAATGAGATAATTACAGTACACCCGTTTACTGTATTTGTGTATTTGCTCTTGTTGATCAATAGAAAGAACCCTGCACGCAGTATCTTACCTTAGATGACTGCAGCGGAATGGAGATTATAGACAAACAAAGAAAGACCCTGCTGATCCGGGCCCGGCATTGAAGTCATCTCGTGCATCATTTCTTTGCTTTGGAGGTGGGCGATTGGAACGCATGTCTTGAAGCTCGAGCCAAACAACGGGGCAATGATGCATTCGGAGCCATATCAATGTTTTGATTATATCATGCATGATCCGAGAAGAGAATATCCTCTTACGACAATAACGAGAAGTGGAAAGCTTTTTCCGGCAGGACAGTCTCACGAGAAAGGATGAATGACAGAGTTTACCGCAGCTGCCTGTGGGCGCCCGCTAATGGCGCAAAAGTCCATTGAATGATTAATGACTTTTTTCAGCTACGAGGCCATGAGATCTATAGGAAGGGATCAAGGGACCACGAGGAGCTTACTTTCTGAGCCCTGGGGCGGGTCACGCGGCTGTTTGGAAACAACGGTTCGTCGAGGTTCTGGACCTATTTGCCAAGACGCGGCCTACAGACCCTTGAGACCTCGACAAAGAGGGGACAAGGATTGTCAGAGACATTTCGATATGAGGAGGGATCATCGCTATGTTTTCTCGGGGTGGCATTCATCCGGGCCTTTTGAGTCGTTTGGGCTATTCTAGCGCCTACGAGATCTAGTAATTTAGCCCAGAGATCAAACAGAGAGCGGGAGCGGGATTAGTCCAAACTGACGACGAAGTTTTAGAGTGCATAATCTTTACTGAGATCTCGAGGTTGACAAGTGTTAGCGTATATCGAGAGCCACAAGTTTCAGAATTTATTGGATCTCTCTGATTGAATATGTTTTTCTTGCGGCTCAAATGTCGCATCAGCGTGGGGATGAATTCCGATATACTTTCTCGGGTGGGCGCGCATCACTGGACCCATCCATGGAATGGTGACCGAGCCTGAATGTGAGGTCTCGGATTTTGGGCACCCAACAGCATGGGATTGTTAGAGGATTCCCATGGCCCCGAACCTAAATTCCAATCTTGACTACTAATTTCCCATCCTTGGCTAAAGCGAAAACCCAGGATCATGCTCGCTACTTTATTAACGAATCGAACTGACCTGCACCGGGATAACAGTTTGAACAGCGAAGCTATTCCCACTTTCCCCATATCCATATCCTCGGTGACTGCTACACCGAATCTCTTGATATATGATTCTCCATTGTAAAAAAGACCCTGAATGAATGTTCAAGGATGGCAACAGATGTGCCCCAGAAAACTCATCCCTGACGTTAACAGCTCTGTATCTTTCAAGTTTTGCCCAAGATAAAGAAAATACAAAAACAAACGCCACAGAAACGGGATTAATTGCCTGCCTAATCTCATGTAGAAACGGAGAATGGCAATTACGTCGAGTTCCCGTCTCACCCTCACGGCTTCACCCACCGTGATCCAATTATCCAATTCTGTGGCAGGCAAAGTGAGTTACTGTGCCGCTCAGCGAGTAAGAATTTGGAACTGGTAGTCGAGATTCAAGTGGGCCAATGACGGCATCTATGGATCTTCGTTGAGGAGCGAGAGCGCCAATGAGGTCACTTCATCCGCCACGCTAAGAAGCATCTCCACTGTTCAGTTTGCTGATGTCACCTTTTTTCAGGGGGGTTTTACAGGTGTTGTCACTGCTGGGGGGAAACGGAGTCTGCTCTGTTTCTGTGACGGGAGAGGCAGGCACAAGATGCTACCGTACACCGTCATATCTCGCCTCACATTGGGCTCTCACCACCGTTTTTGATGCACATCAAAGGAGAAAGGGTAAGGGGAGGATGGAACATCGTCATGGGTAGGGCCTCTTGCAGACGGGTACACATCCTGAACCCACAAGGCTACTGTAACTACAACTATCGACATTCCCGTCTGCGTCATTGCATTGGTCAAACAAGAAGATGAGTTTCTTAGACGAGGAGGCTAGCACATATCCTGTATCTCTGTTGACTCTCAGTCTGAGACCTCAGACTCGTCTACCAATACTAACTCTATCCTCGGCCGTCACACGTCAAACTTACTTAGAGCCTCAACCGTGCCCCACAAGCTTGTTCTTCACAAAAGTGCTGGTGGTGCAGAAACGGTTTCTAGCTTGAGCGTCTCGACCAAACAGAGGCCCGTGATCTCGAGGTCTGGCCAGCATTCTCCCCATCTCAGCAGTGAACCCCTTGCAGCGCCTAGACAGCTTGATGCTCAAAAAGGCATAATACATCTTTGTCAAAAAACTGAAGCATCTCGCCTCTCAGATCAGCCGTCGTGACACGTGATGACGACACTGATCTTTCCAAATCAGTTTGTCTATACGAAAATCACCAATGCCACTTACGAAATAGCTTCCTCAGTAGCAGAAAGAGGCTCATGGACCTTCTGTGTCTGGCTTAAACCGTTCTAGACTCTGCCCCATTTGTATACTTGACATTTCCCTGGTCTTTGACAGGGCCTCTTTGCTGCAAAGAATCCTCTGTTGAAGCCCCATCCTGTCAACTTTATCCTTGCTTCTGATGTTTGTTTTGACGTCGTTGGAGATATGACATAAGGCTCTCTCATCGAAAAGGCTGCACGCCTGCAAAAAAGGCTTGACCCGATCTCACTCGCATACGCAATCGCAATAACAATCAGCGATGATCTAATTCCCATATTGCAGATAAGACCTGTCAACTCAGGGGAGGTTTTGCTGACCGTAACAAGCGACGGTGGAGGGTTGCCTTGCGGCAAACTTTTGCATCATATTACAGCACCTCCCCGGGATATGACGTTTAAGCCGCACCGCCAACATAAGGGGCCTCTCGTACTTGACAGCCTTTCAACCTTCTCCTTTATGTGTTCATGACGATAAATGGATACTGAGCATGTCATTGCGAGTACATGCTGGTCTACACTCGGACGTATTTTCTTACCATAGAGGTTGTCTTCGCCAGCTGAGATGAAACCGCGGGTGTCTTTCCATCAGGATAGCTGGACTGGCAATGCCAGCATCCAACCGTTCATCGTCACCGTAAGCGTCACCGTCTCCATCTTTATTGTGCTTGATCTCGATAACGGTTTCCCCATTAGGCATTTGCGCCTAATTCTTCATCGAGATACTGCGATCTAATACCGTATATAGGTAACACTGCAGGATATGGTAGGCAACGGTTCCGGATCGAGATTGACGTCTAGAAACGGACTGGAGCTGGGTGTGATGATAAATGAGAATAATCTAATGATATGCTACTTAAGAATATCCGAACATTGTCGTCATTCATGTTAATCTACAATAACTGATGATGATGTTGGGGTGTAGCTTTAAACGTGCGAAGACAAGATTATTGAAATTCATGATCCAGGAGCTTATGACGATGCCATACATTGTTTATCATCGTTTTTTCTCTGTTGAATTTTTCATAGTAATACAGCCTTCTATAGTTTAGCAAGCAAAGTGTTTGATGTTGTAGTTACTGCTGTTTCTTCAATCAAGACCACTTCGCAAGTTGCTTGACTGAAATCAGTCTGAGTGGCCAGTAAGAAATAATATCTTCATTGACGAAAAACAACCACGTGATACTAACCAATAAGACCCCCTGCACAATGTGTAATTCTACTCCAATCATAACAATCTGCTATCGTTCGAAATATGAAGCTAAGTTGGTAGTTGAAAGGTTGTATCACGAATGGAGATTTGGTGTCGCATCGCTTAACCTATAGCATAGCCGAGAACTCCGGCTTTTGTGAGCCAAGAAGTGTTGAGATGAGACGAAGCAAATTTTAAAGAGGAGTTTCATTTTAATCACATACAAGTGTTTCGTTCATATTCAACACATTCATTTGTAAGTATTGCGGTTGTCTTGTAGAGGCATGTTGAATTAAAGTCAACAGCTCGAGGTGGGCCCCAAGCCAACTTTACCACACTCGGTAATTACTCCTCTTGGCTCAGCTGTCTCACACTCAGTCGAATGTTGTCAAAGACTTTGACCTCCTGATATTCCTTGGGTGTGTTGTTGTAAAGCTTGGCTATTAAAAATAGAAGATAGCATGATTTAAACCAATTACCCACATATAGACCAGTTCTTTCCCTGCTTTTACGCATCTCAAGCTTGTTTAGAGTTTTTTGCTCTTCCAGTACCTGGTTTCTGAGAGTTAACCAGGTAGCTAGAAACAGATACAGGGTCCAGACTCCCGGCAGTTGATGAATGGAATGGAGCACTTACTACGAGGGTAACATTGCGGACCTTGGCTGCATGTGAAAGCGGACTCATCCATCAATCATCACTGTAGTTTGACAACTTATAAATGTAACAGAAACAGCTTGAAGGGAGATATGTCGGCATTTGAGGATAGAAAACATAGTACATCAAATGTAAGCCACATGTTTCCAATTCTCGGTTTCGCATCTAGCTCATGACCAATTCTTTACAATGTGTAATCAACACCAAACTATAGCGGAGCGGATCTTGGAGAGTCGCCTAACAAAAGTCTCCGAAACCCGCGCGAGAGGGAACCTCAGAGCGTCAAGCAGCGCAATTGGTCAATTTTAACCAACTATCTTCTGTGGGACGCCGCTAAATCATGCCGCGCGCGGCGTGGCAGCTAATTTAAATTTTGTTTCGTAAGCAGCCTACAACTCAAACATGCACAAGCTGAGAAATCGCATTGCAGAGTAGCACTTTGCTGTGTTACAGCAAGACATGGACGGATTGATGAGTTTGTAATATGCCGAAGAAGTATCCGGAGGTTAAATGAATTTTGTATATAGAGCTCGTCGGGTCCGGCTCTGGATCAACAATCTCTTCTCTCAACTCAACCCACATTACAACAATATCACAGCAATCAATTGAATCTTCAATTACATCTTCACTTATTATAACGACAGCGATACATACTCACTTCAAGCATATTGATACATCCAAAACTCCACTTAACATGTCTGGCATGAAAACCATCGTGGTCCTAGGCGCAGGCCCAGCTGCCATGCCCATCATCCGTCAAACAATGGTCAACCAAGTCCTCAAGCGCGACGACCTCAAGATTGTCGTCGTCTCCCCCAACACTCACTTCCACTGGCCTGTTGCAATGCCTCGTGTCGTTATCCCCGGCCAAGTACCTGATGACAAGGCCTTTGTTCCCCTTGAGCCTACTTTCGCGGACTATCCCTCCGACAAGTTCGAGTGGATTCAGGGCAAGGCTGTTGCTCTTGATACTTCTTCTAACCTCGTCAGCGTTGAGCTGAACGACACTCCTACTGTCCGAGAGGTCAACTACCACACTCTAATTATTGCTACTGGTTCCCGAACGCGGGACGGTATGGTTTGGAAGGGTACTGGCTCTACACAAGATGCCAAGACCAAGTTGCACGATGTGCAGGATCAGATCAGCAAGGCCAAGACCATAGTTGTTTCTGGTGGTGGAACGACCGGCTCTGAGACCGCTGGTGAACTTGGCTTTGAGTATTCTCAGCATGGGAAAAAGGAAGTCATCTTCATCTACTCGGGCGCTCTGCCCCTTTCTCCCCCTGCCACCGACACAGTCCGCAAGTCTATCGTCAAGGAACTCGAGAACCTCAAAGTCAAGAGTATGCCAAACACAAAGGTCATCAGCGCAACACCTACACCAGGATCCTCAGACATTGTCATCGAAGTCCGCTCTTCTGATGGCACGATTAAGCAAATCACCGCGCAGGCCTACCTTCCCGCAACAGGAATCGTTCCCAACACTGAGTTCGTCCCCAAGACGCTCCTCGACAACAATGGCTTCATCAAGCAGACCACTCGTCTCCAGGTTGAAGGACACAAGAACGTCTTTGTCGTCGGCGACGTAGGCAACCTTGAGGCGTCACAGCTTGGAATGGCAGAGAACCAGTCGATACACCTCTTCAAAAGTCTTCCTACATATCTCGAAGGCGGCGAGGTCCCTGAGTATGTTCCTGCAAACAAGACTATGTTCGGCGTGACGCTTGGTCGAAGCAGAGCGACAGGCCAGTTCGGTACCTGGAAGTTGCCTAGTATCATGATCTGGTTCGCCAAAGGCCGGGCCTTGGGCACTGACAAGTCTGAGGCGTGGGCAGCTGGAAAGAGAACTATGATGCATACTTTTGAGAAGTAATAGGCTGCAGGGTTTGGCTTGAGTTTGGATGGCAGCGTAAAGATTCCCCTGTGTTTTACGAATATTATAGACTATAAATTTCATTAATAGCTAATCAACCCTTTATTCTTACGATGCAGCCCAAGCTAGTTATTCGATGTGACAAGTCTTCAGTAGGCATGAATCTCCTTGAACCAATGGATACCACGAATATCTAGCCAGTCTGGCTTAACCTCATGTTTCTGAAGATATATATCCAACTCCCAATATCCATTAGTGCCACTTAGTTTTCGGCTAGAGTCAATATATAGATATAGTAATGCACCACAGTCTGCATTTTGTAAGTTACGCCGTTAAAATTGGGTCCATGCATTGCTTACTTGGAAGAAATAGCAGCTTTAGTAATTCAGCCTAGTGTTGTGCTACGCCCCATTTATCCTGTCAGACAATACTTTATAGTAAACAAGTCAATCTCACCCACCAATTTTCGAACTCATATACTGGGGTTAACCATCCAATTGGATATTGCGCTCAGCTCAAGGCTGGGACCAAGCTGTCAATATGTCGCTCTTTCTAAACATGATCCGTGACAGATTCATCACGATACCAGCACAGGAAGAAGACTGCACAGGCAAAACATTCGTTGTGACAGGAGCAAACAGCGGTAACTCTGAACCCAATAGATCGCTCTTATTTAGAACTGATGTCGTTCTCACCAGGTATTGGCCTTGAAACAGTCCGTCATCTTACAGAACTTAAAGCCGCCAAGGTGATCTTGACATGTCGAAGTATTGAAAAGGGCGAGCAAGCCAAGAAGGACATTGAAGAATCGACTGGGAAGCAAAATATTGTTCAAGTTTGGCATCTAGATCTCGCTTCGTATGACAGCGTTCGGGAATTCGCTTCTCGCGTCAACAAATTGGAGCGTGTCGATGCCTTCATCAACAACGCTGGCCTTCTCGATTTCAATCGTGAGATGATTGAAGGCCATGAATCAATGTTGGCTGTCAACGTAATATCTACGACTCTGCTTTCGCTCCTTGTCTTGCCTGCCCTAAGGCTAACAGCGATGAGGTTCAATATCGCTCCTCACCTTGTCATTGTATCTTCCGACGCAGCTTTTGATGTACGTTACTGCGAGTACGCCTGACAGCTCATCACTGACAGGAACTAGTGCCGTCTCCCTATAGGTGAGCCAAACATATTTGAGGCTCTCGATGCTCAAACCAACATTCTAGAGCACTACAACAAATCAAAGCTCTTACAAGCCATGTTCATGTCTCGACTCTCCCAAGAAATTGACGCTTCTGGAAAGGGACATATCCTCGTCAATGCAGTACACCCAGGTTTGTGCTGCACACAGCTCTTCAAACACATATCTTTTCCGTTCTCCCTGTTTCTCTCTGCCCTTGTAGCGATACTTGGACGGACCGCGGAGATGGGATCTCGGGCGTTGTTGGCTGGAGCTTTTGCAGGAGAGGATCTACATGGAAAGTTCATGTTCAATGGCGAGGAGCACCAGCTTCCCAAATGTATGCAAGGGGACGTAGGCGAAAAGTTGAGTAGACGTGTGTGGGAGGAGCTGATGGAATTGCTCGAGGGGATTGAGCCTGGGGTAATGGATAATATCTAGACATCGAGTGTGATTATGTACTAATGTAATATCAGTCGGTCTCTATTGTATTTTTGACTTGGAGATTTAGATAAATAAAATGTCAGTTTATCAATGCCACCTCTCCTACCTTTATTTGTCGACGGCGGAATTAATCCGCACTCTAATTAAGGTCCCACCATTGCACCTTGCATTACCCAGAGCAACATCCACCCATACACTTAGGGTGCGCGACAGCTCTATGCGCCCAGGCTCCAACAACGAGTTTATGGTCTAATGGACCTCTTTTTTGGACATTATTAGTGTTTTCAGGTACTTATAGGCGGGATTGTATTTCAAAAAGCCTCTCTGCAAGGCCATCGTTCTATGGACGCGATTCAGAGCTTCGTTGTCCATCCTTGATTCATTTCGCGACACCGACTACCATCCTCTACCTCCCCTTGACGATCGATACCGAGCCTCCTTCGCTATGGAGAACCCTGCGGCAGCTGGAGATGCTATGCGTACAGCAATTGAGTACTGGTGCCAATTCGTCGCTCGCTGTGTTTCCGAACGACTCGAGACAGACAAATTCGAGGCCTACGTCAAGATTGTCCACGATCAACATCCTCTACCTCCCACCCTCGTCGCCGACTTCTTTCTTCGCCCTCAACCTTCAGACGACAGTAGCCTCGATCCCAGAATACCTCCATACCTCCAAGTCCTCACAAAATTGGGCTATGTTGACACACCGTCAATACTAAGGGCCTTGTACAAGTACTCTTCATCCCACGCACACGCACAAGCGCAAAAAGAACATCTGCAATTAAACACTGAAGAAGGAAAGGGAAAGGAGAAGGAAAAACAAAAGGAAAACGGGGATGACAAAGAAAAGGTTGAAGAGAAGGGGGATGCGCAACCCAAGAAGAACATCATACGGTGGAAGAGCTCTTACTGGGCCGAAGAGGTTCTCTTCTACAGACTTACTAAATCAGTAGTCGAGGGTAGAGCGATACAGGACTCGAGGACGGCTTTGGAGGTGGCCATGATCATCTCAAAATTCATGGAATTATTCACCACTGCCCTGCCCGCAACCGCCTTCGCTGCTGATATGCTTGAGCAGCAGTTCCCCAGTGGCCAGCTGAGGGACGAAATGGAGTCATCGCGAGCAGCTCTAGTTGCACTACTTTTGCGCTTGTGCGAGAATAACATTCTCGTCAGCGCTATAGGTAAACCATTTGCGAAAGGTATGCCATCCGGATACCCATCCTTGGCGGCCTATTGTACTGATTGATTGTAGATGTTCGAAAAGCGCTGTCCACAAGCCTAGCAAGTTTTTTGCCTGCACTGCAGCTCGTGCCGGAGATAGCTGACAAGCTCGAACTGTTCCGCACTGAAATTCTTGCCAGCTCTGACCCTGCAGACAAGAAGAAGCAGGTCGCCAACGCCGCCATGGATGAACTTCTTGATTCTACTGTTGGTCTGGAGAACTTTGTGGTAGCACCGATTTCTGTCAGCAATACGAGAGCAGGTTTGTATATTTATCTCAATGCTGCGGTGAGTATGCCAACTTCTTAGGCTATATCATATACTAACTGACCTAGCTTATTGGACGCCCCATCTTGGACGATCATGCTCTGTTCTCCTACATGAGTAACAAGTACGGAGCAGACATCCAGTCAAGTGCTATTGATTTAATTCTGGCATCATTCGACATTCTGGCTAATGCTGTGTTCCGCAATGAGGGACAGAAGGACGCTCACCTCCTGCGTTCATTTTTGATCAACAAACTCCCCTTGCTCCTATATCAACTGCTGCCTCCTGGCTTCTCAGGCACATCGGCTGAATTCTGCATCACAGAAGCGCTCACTCATGTGGACACCAGCCTATTCCCTACGGCCTCGCTCATGTTTGATGAGTCTAGGAACAACAACCCTTATACTGAAAGTATTAGAGAGGAGTTTTGTGCCGCCTGTGTCCTTCATGGGCTTGTACAACGGGAGCACGTTGAGAGAATCCTGGGCGAGATTTCACTTTCATATGAGCCGTCTTTGCAGAAACATTCCAAGGATAAGCTGGTGCAGGATTGTTTATCTGATATAGACAAGATTCAGGGTTTGGTTCGGGAGCTTGACAAGACGGATGGCAACGTTGGGGCTGTTTGTCAAGCCCTCGTCGAGGTATGTACTCTTGAGTCCTCATATTGGCAGTATCTAACGAACCATAGGTGCTGCGGCAATCATGCCACAACAAAGAGACGATGTCTCTGAAACTGCTCTGTAGTCAGTTGGCAGCAAAGCCCCAGTCACTGGATGTTATCCTCCTTTTTGAGAAACTGCCAAACATACTCGAACCTTTGTGCCAGCTACTCGACAACTGGCGATACGAGGAAGACCAAGGCGAATATCAGCCTGTGTACGAGGAGTTTGGAGCAGTCTTGCTTCTTGTATTCGCCTTTACGTATCGTTATAACCTTAACGCAGTGGAAATTGGAATTACAGCCCCGGACTCATGGGTAGCTAGGATAATCGGCCGCGGGCATATTGGACGACAAGGTGACGAGCTTACACAGCGGGAGAATGATCACATCAACGGCTGGGTCCATGGTCTCTTTGACACAGAGGCTGGTGGTCTCGGTGACGAGTTGATGTCTTCTTGTCCGCCACAGGAATTTTATCTCATAGTGGCACCCCTTTTCCAGAGCATCGTGGTTGCTTACACGTATGGCTATCTGAACGATGAAAGCCTTAAGGGAGGAATAGAGTGTAAGTACTCTAACCATGGATTATTAGGCATGTGCTAACTCGGATAGACCTCGTGGATACCTTCTTGCTGCCATCTCTTGTCCCAGCAATCCGGTTCCTAGCAGATTACCTATGGATCGACCAGAAGGAACAAAAGTCCATCATCAAGATCCTGCAGCTTATTTTACTTCCAAGTTCAATTTCTGGGGAAGCAAGCACAATGCTTTCGTCTGTGAAGAATCTTATTGCAAAGCCTTTGGAGCATGCTCTGCGAACATATCAACGCCGGGATCCTAAGAACCAAGACATTGAACCTCTTCTGAGAACTCTCCAGGAGAGCATTCCTCTATCACGCCGAACAGGGGGCACAGATCTTAACGAGCTTGAATCATGGACGGCTACACCTCCGAGTGGCCTCTCCAGTGCCGTCAAGCTCACCATTCAAGGCCTCGTTCACTGGAGCATACATCCTGCTATGAACAGTATGCCGACTTCTTATACTCATCGGCAAATCCTGGCTGGACTCAAGATTTTGGGCCCCAGACGACTGTTGCATGTGATCCTGGAGGAAGTAAGACAACACACGGCAGCTGGAAGCGCTAATATTATCTACGACGTGGCTATGTCGTTGATTTGCGCGCCAGACGCCGTGAAAGATACCCCGGTAACGGGTATGCTTGATGCCAATGGCAACATGCTTCCGCCAATTCAACGTCAGCGAACCCTCCGTGATCTTCTCAAGGTGGAAGTCGAAGGTTGTAGGAAGCTTCAAAAGGAAGACCCTGTGTTGGCTGAGCATGTGGTACGCTTACTCCGTCGAGTCGAGGCGCAGATGATTGTTCCTCAGCCACAAGGAATGCTTCAGCCAGCGGACATGACACTCAACCTTACCGACGATACTGCTGCTCTCGGGGATGCCATGGCTGCTGCAGCTTCAGGAGTTCAGGGCGATAACATGTCGGTTGACAATCTGGCTCTCGATGTTAGTATGGGAGGTGTGTCGTCTGACATGGGGCTCGGGTCTGCCACTGATGGTGGGAATCTGGATCCTTCCGGCGATGCCGCTATGTTTGAAGGGTTTGACACACAGGACATGGACAATTTTAACTGGGACATCACCGACACATTCTAGTTGGAAGAACACCCATCACGGTGGAGGTACTAAGTTATGGGGCATGCGGCGTCTGGTTGCTTACGGGTTCAGGATAACCAAATACTACTTCAATAGAGGTATTACACTAGTGCTGACACTCTTCTCGTCGATAGATGACTGTACTGGAACACTAGGAACAATACACCACGCTTCCATAGTTCAGCAACTTATTCCGACGTAGTGAGTGAGCTGTCATCAAGCACCAAGAAGGCATCGGTTCCGTGGTGTAGTTGGTTATGGCATCTCGTTGAGCGTCTGTTGGCTTTCTGTTGATGTTGTGTAACATTCATGACTACACTATGGCTGGATTCCGAGTGTTGGCGATGCCAGCTGCCAGTTGGTTCGTGAATGACGAGTTACAAATGCATCTAGGTGAATGTCCTTCTAAAATTTAGATTAGAATATTAGAGTAGTAAAATTATCTATAATTGTTTTATAAAACAGAATGGCATCTATGAGAAGTAATATCTTGTCAACTCAATCGTTCTATTACATATTTACATCTAGAGCTAACAGTAGACTAGACCCTGCACCATGTAGCTAGGCCAATCCCTGTATAGATGATTAAAAAAGAGCATATCAGGCACTAAATTGCACCAGCAAAGACAAAAAGTAAATCAGCTGTATTCATCGACCACGCCAGGAGTCGAACCTGGAATCTCTAGAGTGATCAGTTGCTGAGGACCGAAATCTAGCGCCTTAGCCATTAGGCCACGCGGCCTGATCTTGTTGATGTAAGATGTCTCTCTGTTGCCGTTCTCATTGTCCTGCAGCAAATTGCCGGGCAGGCCTGGCGCTGTTGCTTCATGCCAGCCTCTCATGACCATCTTCTACAATCAAATCTCATGTTTCTTGGTCGGTTTGACAAATCCCACGCGAATCGGGATTGGAGTTATATAAAGGGTCTTGGGTTGGCACACCAAGTGAGTTTTCGAGTCCTCAATAGCCAATGGCAGGGTGCTGCTGTTTTGCATACCTACCTAGTGATGATTGTTTCTCGTTGAACTTGAGTATGGGTCTCTATGTTTGCTAGCTCTATAAAACGAGGGTGTCCGAATATGACATGGTTGGGAACGCTGAACGAGTCCAATTAAAAACAGTAAAGGGGAATAAGTAGCCTAAGGTGGTCGGATAATAACAAGAGGCTGAGATGCGTCAGAAATATTCGAAAGCAGGCGCCGTTTGCGAGTATTGTGAGTCGCCCATACCATCTTCGCTTCTCTCCGGCAACAGTGAATGCATGCATTTTTAAGACATGCGGGAATATCGCCATGGAGTCTCATGAGTAGTTTCTCCCAGTTCAGTTCTACTTTTGAGGCGTACAGGGAAATATTCAGTCTGGAAAATTTACCTCATTTTTAAGTCACGTAGCGCTTATCATCTATCTAGCATGGGGCGATGCAAGGCATATTTTGTGACGATGACGAGGGCCGGAAAGGGCATCTCGTATTTGGAGGCTGAGCAAAAACAACTCATAAAGTGGGAGCAAGACATTCAGCTGCAATCGAAACTTGGTTTAACCATTGTAATTCTGCTGATTTTGTTCTGGAAACAAAAGGTAATGTGACTTACACGATATACCCCTGTGAATGAAGCTTGATATTTGTGGACTATTTCTATCGTATACCTCCTGTCTTCTGATAGTGGAAACTGGAAAGTAAACACATTAGACGCTAGTGGTCTATTAACAACCCATTGCCCTATTTAGCTATAATGTTCGAAGGTCATAAGACTGCTCGGTCTGGCCGAGTCAGCTGGGTTAGGAACGCCCGACTACATTGGGAGACTCGACAGCACCCTTTTCACTTGGTGCAGGCCATGGATATTTGGTGATGTTCCGCGATCACCAAAGTCTAATACTGGCCTTTTCCCTCGCCTTGTAGCTTCGAGTCACAAGAGGTAGGGCTAAAAGAGCAACCTTATTCTCACATGTATATATAAACCCTTAAATTCAAACTCACAGTGATACATATGCTCTCATCGTCACTCACGCACAAAATGTCTCCAAAAGACTTTTTCATAAAGTACTTGAACTTTCAACGGAAAAAGAAACAAGAAGAAACCGACAAGTCCAAACCAGCAGCAGCACCTGTCAAATCCACTCCAAACAGCATACCAGATGTTGTTGAACAACTTCAAAAGAGACCTGTAAACAGACCCAAATCTACCCGTCCTTGGTCTACTTATACCAGTCCCCAAGCTGCCAACGACGGAGGGACCTACCTCCTAGGGAACCCTTACGGAGGGTCTTCAACCACTGGGGCTCACCATGACCATGGCCATAAGGATGGAGACCATTGGGGATGGTCAGGCGTAGAAAACGGTGCAGGCGGTTCTCATCATGATAGTGGAGGAAGCAGTGGCGATCACAGCAGTGGAGGATGTAGCAGTGGTGATAGTGGTGGAGGAGGAGGAGATTGCGGCGGTGGAGGTGGCGGCGGAGGAGATTGATGATGGGCGTTCTGAATATCAGTTGATTCTGTTGTGTTCGATATAAGACGAATTTATTATCGGTGTTTTTTTTGTATTAGTGTTGGGATTCCTGGTGTTGGGATTCCTGGTGTTGGGAAGAGAAATGATAAGTGTTGGAGCGATTCAAGACGCCTGCCCAAGTATGCCCTTCAGACGGCCGACGGATGATTCCACGGAACCGCTCACATCTAATTCCCGATAAATCGCCCATGGATCATTATTTTCTTTGCCAGGAAGCTTAATGAGTTGATTGCTCTTAATGATGTCGCGCAGAACGGACACGTCTGTCAATTTTGACTTGCTGCCTTTCTGACGATCAGGAGTCGAGAGTCTCTGCTCAAGAATATCGGGATCGCAGCGTAGGTTGATCCAGTATATGGGGACGCCACTATTGCGAGCAATTTCTAGATGTTCGTGAAGAAAGTCATCATCTCTCTGGTTATCCGCCGCCAGGCATGCTGTCATAAGGATAGTGTCGCCGTCTTTTGCACGTTTACCTAGCTCCGCAAAGATAGGGGCTCGAACCAAGCGACGCAGCTCGTGATGTCTGTCGCTTCGGTCGGGAATGACTGCAGCCACCGGATCGATGAGTAGATGGTTATCAAGCAGACAGGTGGGCCCGCCGTCAGGGAGGTGTTTTTGAAGCTGTTTGAGAATTGTAAATTTGCCTGTGCCTGGAAAGCCGTTCAGAACAACGATTTTTCTAGAGCTACTAGACTCCGCCTGAACGATGTTGGGATTTGGAGTATAAGGTTGTTGCAAATCTTCAAAGTTTGGCAGTGCTGGCGCGCCATGAGATCTTGAGTATCTGCGAGGCGACATTGTGAAAGCCTTCGTTAGTGGTGAGAAGAGAGAAAGGAAAGCAGGGCATGTTGCCGTACTTACGGGAGAAATGTATCACGTGTATGCATTAACTTCCTATTGACTCACTGCAGCGAGGTGTATGTAATATGTTTGATCTTCGTATAATTCAAGGACGAGTGTCGCAGTGCTATTCTTTGAACCTAAACTTTTTCTCAAAGAGAGACACGCACCTTAGACTCTCTTCTGCTGCACTGCTCTTTGCTTTTCCTGCTATGATGGGTTCGAGTTAACACTTATGACCCTTATTTAGTTCTGGTTACTATAAATACATAAGAATTATGTCAGGGTAGCAAGCAAACAATCCTCAACATCTAGTTTTGTACAGAGCTGTGCGAGCCAATTGATTTGTGTCTGGGGTATTCTCTCCATTGAGCCGCCAGAATAACTTTGGGACTGTCAGAGGAAATCGCTGATTGAGCCGTAAGGAACTATTATTGCACCCTGCTTCCTGTAAATATGCTGAATAACAGCTAATGAAGTACGAGACTTACACCAATATGATACCAATGGGTTGCTTGGGCGCCCTGCAGGTTACAGTCAGATAAGATCAGAATATGCAGAGATATCTGCTGTGAGGATCAAGACGAACAGTATTGCCCGTGTGCCCTTCATAATCTTCCTTGGCGGCACTCATATCATCAAAGACGGATGGCTCAAGAAGGTGATCCTCTTCAATACACATCTTGCCCGAAACGACGTTGTCGTCCAAGTCTTTGGTGATCTTGACACTGAATTCTGATTCAAAGACTTCGTCGATACAGTGGTATCCTGCACCGGAATCCTCGCCGTACTGTAAATCATAAGGATCGAAGGCAACACTGCCACTCTCCATCTTTTCTACAAGTGCAATAAATATTGCAACTGGAAGCCTATTGCACGCTTGCCGAAGGGCCGTGACACGGGTCATGTCTGCTCCTTTTAGTGTTCTGTAGGATATGCTGGCTTCTGTGTACTCATGATGCAGTACGTGGTACACGCATGGGCTCTGGCGGGAGTCTTGGTCTTGGGCGAGTCATCTTCTGATGCAGTGTCGGAGCGGCTACAATACAGATCGTCTAAGGGCAGCAGATAGTGCTGGTAGCGATTGATCGACGGCAAGATTATAAGTCAGAACCCAGCGGTAACCTGAAGTAACCGGAAGGACTTCATGTGATACGTCTGAGTACCAACTAGCACAAGAAATGGGATACTCGGATGACTTGTAAACCATTTTCTCGCCACAATGCTTCAAAACGACTTCACCGCCACTGTGCTTAGATGGGAGGCTAATGACGAGAGTACCAAACATGCCAGGAATCTTTTCAGTACTGCGCCCGTATGAGTCAACCGCCAGTGGGCATTGTTATATTAAAGAATACTCACTCAGTATATTGTTTAAACATGGCACCCTCCTTGTAAAGCAGCACCTTGTAAATTTCGGCACGAATAGGTGTGTTAATTCCCACCTGGTGAGCAGCCGGACGGCTGCTCACCTTCGAGATAGGCAGGCAATTCTGCCGACCATATCGTAAATTATGAAGGATCAAGTTCCCATCTATCTCGGACAGAAGTGTCGACAAAAATATCGGTCCCTTTGCCAAAGGGGGCCTGGCGTGCTTTGGTGATGATTTGACGGGCCTGCGATTCAACAAGCGGCAGGGCAACATTACCAACTTCATTCACAGAGATGCTGAAGTCAGAAGGGAGTTTGATTCCTGCCCCAAAGGCAAATTTCCCGGGAGGTTTTATGTTCTGAATGATTTCCAGGAGATCATTGTGGAAGTCATCGTTGAAATCGATTGTGCTCAGGTCACCGGTAACGCTTGAATTGTCATCAAAGTCGGCTGGGCCCGAGGGCGATCCTGAGACTGAGACATTCGTCTCAAAGGATGCCATTTTGGACAAAGTTATAGGTATCACGACCGTTGGTTCTTACCGTTGGTAGCTGGGAGTGTTGAGAGTTTCGACAGTGGACTTACATATAAGCGATGAACCAACGACGTAAGAGGATTCTACGTGTAAGTGAGCTCTAACTTGCCTCTTTTTTGCTTTTTCAGCTGAATAATAAGAAAAGAAATGATGTAATATAGAATATCCCTCAATAGGTTTTAAAGCGCAGACTATAACTACTGGATGGTATCAGAAGCGCTTGTTACAATTCCTAGAGGTCTTTTATCCCCCTTCTGTCTTTGAGCTCTACTGTTTTCTCCACGGTGTCGTTGAAAGCTTAAGTACGCCACGCCGTCGTTGTGAATCCATCAATCCAACGCCTTTCTCTAGATGTCGTAACTGATTAAACGAAAACAACTCTTGGCTTGTTTTTAGGATGAGTAAAGCTCCATAATTATGTTCGAGGAATTACTCAAGATCTATTCTGGCTTTAGCACTCCTCGCCACCAGTCGGGATCCTTTAAACTCCTTCTGGTCGCAGCCATCTCTTGAGGAAGTAACACAAGACCGTCTATATAATCCATTTCTGCATTTATTCTTGTACATACGACCAAAGGTAGTGGAAAATACGGGATCCCGTCCGCTCTCCCATAGTCAAGCCACTAACCGGCGGATTAGTAGTTGGGTCGGTGACGACCAGCGAATCCCCGCTGTTGTATGTTTTTTGCCGTTTCCCCTGAGAAACGTGGTTAAAGAAACACTTCACAACCTTTTTTGGGTTTTGCCTGCCATTGCTCGTGGCTTTCTACCCACACTCCGTTATCTGATATAAATTATGCCGATTTCAGTATTCTTGAAGTTATTCCACATCTGTAAATGAGTATTGCAAAACTGCATATTTGCCTGACAATGGTGTGGTAGTCCTTCACATACAAGGACTGGCTAACAAGAGAACAAAATTGTCAATGGCTGTTTATAAATTAAATCATCTTGAATAAATAGTTCTATACGGTAAACAAATATGGATATCATCGAACCCTGTCAAAAGAAAGCCGCTAACTCTATGCACCACAATCCATCAAAACACTTATGATACAGCAGCGGCGGCAGCAGCGGAGCTGGAAGAAGCTGAAGAAGCCGAAGCACCAGCGGTAGCGTTATCCCTCTGGACCTTCTGCCAGATAGACATGCAGCTCATGACAGCCATCAAAGCCCACATGTTGCCCAACTCGCCTGTGGCACCACTTCCCCGAAACTGGAACTCTCCAACACCCGACATGGTCTTCCAGCAGCTGGCATTTCCCCAAACTCCCACAACCTCCTTTCCGTCGCTGGTATAGCCCTCGCCGCCGCTGCTGCTGCTGCTGCCCTCTGGGAAATCCTCTTCGCTAGATGAGTATTCTTCCTTGGTGTTGGTGCTACCGAGACGGACGAGCTTGTAGCCGCCCCATTTGGACTGTCCGACACTCTTGACTTCAGCACCGCGCGATCGGCGCCATTCGAAGCGTTCGACACGCTGCTCTGGACCGTCGCCGACGAGGCATCCGAACCAGAAACGGCCCTTGAGTCCCTTAGGTCGGCGCAGAGTTTCTTCGTGGATACCTTTTCCTGTAGGCAGCGTGATGAGGTAGTCATCGTGGTATTGCTTGATTCGTGATGAGGTCGCGATGGCGGGCGACTCAGGAGTAGGGCCTTTGTGAAGGACGACATCGCCGTATAAGCCCTTGGTGAAGCTAATGGTATACATGGGCTCAGCGTCGGGTGGGCCAAGACTTATGTTCATACTTGTGAAGCAGGCATATTTCTTCCATGAGTTTTGGTATGACATGCGGATGATGCTTGGGATATCTTGAAGCTCTTCAGCTGACAGCTGAGAGGTGTTGAATTTTGAACTTGAGTTGCCCATTGTGTAAGATGTGATGTGAAGTATTTGTGAGTGGTTTGTAGTTGAATGAGAGAAAGACTGAGATGTGATGGTTATCTTGGTAGTTGTCTTGATAGTTATGATGTTTATTATATGCTTTCATTACTGGAAATTCCTCCTAGTTATATACTTTGAAGCTGTGATACTCAATGTTACTCAATATGATACTGGGTGATGGAGAGCGCTGCATTGATACTGCTTTGGGAAAGGATCAGCGAATCCTTTGAGCCTTTTTAGTGCCGCTGAGGCAAAGCTGCAGTCTTAGCTCCACCAAGCTCGGTGTCGGCGGCATGCTATGACGCGGGTAAGGGTGCCCTGTAAGGCTGTCAATTCCTCTTTCTGGCTTCGTTTCCCCCTTCGGGGGACCAACCAGAGTGTTGCACAATCCAAGCCCAAGAGATCGTGTTACTGATGAGGAAACTATGAGGGCTATTAATCTCTAGATCTAGAGGAAATTGCTTGTTTCTGCTGCGCCATTCCATTGGGTCGATCATTGGCAGTGCACAACACAGCCTTGATCAACCTTGATATAAATGCCGTAATGGTAAGTAGATAGCTGGAGGACATGTACAGTAGAATGTTTAGTTATTCAATCACATTCTAACTCACTTGAGCTTGAGTGGCCATTCTCTGTTCCTTACTATCAGCCCAAGCTTCCTGCTTCTCGCCGTTTCATTGAGGTTGTATGCATCTTCTCCGTCTTCGCTATCGTGCTTACTATCAGCGCTACAAATGAACATATACGGATAGTCTCGTTGTTATTCGATATCGAAAATAAAGCTGTATCGATGTGACCTTCTCTCATGCGCAAGCAATCGTCATTGCAAATATCACCGATAACATGCCAGCATAATTTCTTTAACGCAACTATGGATAGCATGAAAGAACATTCTCTCGTAACTCTGAAGTAGGCAAGTTGACTATTTAACATCGTACGAAACGATTCACGCACGTATTTTGGAAGAAAAATGTTACACAATTCACGTTCATTCCCTGGTACTCTAACATGCATATGGATCATTCGCATTTTAGTTGGTACGTTAATAATACTACAACACTGGTACTAAAAGAAGTTTTATGCCAGAAGACTTGAGAGAGAACAACTTCTAGTCTTTAAAAATTTTCTCGTCTTATATGTTTCTCCTTTTATCCTTTCTTTGACCCAGCTGCACGAATCATATAGGGTAAGCAGCATCGCATGGGGATTTTTCTGTGTTGCCAATCAAGTGGTGCATTCTTTAAAGTACAAAAACAAATAGCTCAATAAGTCTTATCTGAGTAGCATAAGCTGAACTGCTAATTTCGTCTCTTGTGTTTCTAGCTCAGATGCAAGTCGATGTGGTTCTCGGTAGGTTAACAATGATGATGAAATGGGAATGCACAAATGAGACTATTCAACTAAATATAACGTTGCACTCATGTCTTTTCAATTACCCAGGGGGGCTGATTGATAGGCAAGCTAACCTTGAAGCTTTGGGATATGAGAATGAATAGCGTAAGGGGTATAAAATAACAGAACGACCTGATATGATGGGTCTTCTATGCTTCTAGTAGCCAAATCTTTCGATATAGCCCTTGAAGACCAGCATTTCGTGCAAAAAAGTTAACATGTGAATGGTGTCCATAGACTTTGTAATCAATATAAGCGGTATCTTGGCTCGCTTATCCCTCCAAAGACGGAGGGACTCTTTATTAAGAACTCCAAACAACGTTGACTACCTGGTGGCAGATAACGTTGGAGGCTCTTTGCTTATATGCACAACCCGTGCAGATCAGTCTTGGCAGAATAGAAAATGTTGATTCAGTTTGGCTTACCAATACGAAACAAATTTCTCAACAACATTTCACCGAATGGCAAACTCAAAGCAAATTGCGATGACTCCCACGGGGTAAGCACCCACTATTATATGCAACTTGCTGATTGAGTGGCAATAGCGACATTTGTAAAATCTCAGGAACCCGACATTTAGGCGTACAACAATTGGTGGTGAATGTGCTAAACTCCGACAGATTACGCTGCATGAATAGTCGCTATGTCCGACTGGTTAGGGTAGCGAGGATCTGCACTGCAAGATACGAGTGCTTGAGTCTGTGAAAGCAAAAAGTACGGGGCGTTATCTTGTTATCCGAGTCAGAATCAGCACTCTCCACAAACTCCATAACGTTAGCACTTCCAATGTCTCAAGAGGTCCGGAAACAAGAGCTAATCTCCATTTCTCAGCAACTGGAAACGCAATGAGGGTCCACGGATGAGTGCATTAGAATCCACTCATTAACTAAGCTTCTGGAGAAGTGACAGAAAAGAATAGCTGACTTTGTTACCTTTTTTGGGGGGGATGTCAGCTACTTATTTTGACCATTACTCCTCTAGATCCCTTCCTCCCCCCTTAGCGTATAGGAGGCACCATTTACGTCACCATGGATAACGGAAGAAAAAAAAAAAGTGCATCTGCAAAGCAAACTAGAGTAGACGTTATTATAAATACAAAGATCCTCATGGTTATTGGGGAAGCAAAGCAATCACCAGTCCGTGCAACGCTCCTGCCTGCCCTGCAACCTCGGTGAAGCTTATCTTGAACAGTCTTTCCCCTTTCATAAGTTCCTGCAATTCTAGCGATAATTGTTTTGCCTGTAAATATCGAGGCATTGGCCTCTACAGCGCGTCATTCATCTCATCTTCCCTACTGATTGATACCTACCTCTTTGTCTCTTCACTTCATACCATCGTCGTCAACATGTTGGGAAATACAGTAGACGGCGATGCCCTCCGTCGCACCCAATCATCAATGTGGCAACAGCAGCAGCAGCAACAACCTATTTCACAACAAACTGTCGAGGGCGGACAGCACAACCCTACAAGCAGTAGCTCCTCCGACACAGGTGTTGTCCAAGAAGGAAAATGGGGAGAGCGCGGACAAGAAGATGTCACTGCGCAAGAGGCGATGCAAGAATTCGAGTCTCTTAGACACAACCTCATGAGCTTGCACAAAACAAGAACTACAGAAACAAACACCAGCAAAGCAAATGCAAGTAGAAGGGCGAGCAACGCTGCTCGAGTTCCTTCAAAACATCGCCAGAATGT